GGAACAAAACTCATTCATCCAATCAGTCACTCATTTGGTGAAACCAATCAGTGTTACGTGTTACTTCAAATACAAGAACTTGTGGCCATAGGTGGAAATTAGCGGGAGAACATTTCAAACTGGATTTAAGGAAGCACTTCTTTACACAGCGTGTAGTCAGAGTATGGAATAGTCTTCCTGGTAACATAGTGCAAGCTGAATCCTTGGGTTCCTTTAAATCAGAGCTAGATAAGATTTTAACAACTCTGAGCTGTTAGTTAAGTTCTCCCCAAGCAAGCTCGATGGGCCGAATGGCCTCCTCTCGTTTGTATAGTTCTTATGTTCTTATGTTCTTAAGTAGGGAGTGTCATTAAGCTGGAATCTGATCACCTTCATTTATTCTGCATGTATAACTCATACATTTCCACTAGAGGGAGCTGAGGATTCTCAGGTCACCAGCTACCAGAATTACCATTCAGTCATTGTCCAACATTGTCCAGCGGCTTATTTCAACTGCCTTCACAGTTGGTGCGCCCCTGTCTTTGTAGTCCTCACGAACAACAACAACAGTAATAATAATAATAATAATAATAAATGATTATTATTATTATTATTATTATTATTATTATTACACGACGGAGCAAACCTACGTTTTAGAAATGATGATTTTGACAAACAGGAATCACAGAAACGAAATAACGCAAAATAATTGAGGTCAACATGATGAGAAAGACAGACTAGGCCTCTCCGCGAGGCTGAACGGCACGAGTGGCTAACCTCACACCCGGATGTAAGATATGTTTGCATTGCAGTCATCCTGTGGTGATTTAAGTTCTGCTTTACAATACTGACAGGTGACTGCATTGTCATTCACTTTCTTTCTTCCATACGGCTGAAGTTTCCGCTCTTTATCTGGACCCTCATCCGCTAGGCGCAGTCTTCCTTCCGCTATACGAGTAATCGAGAAGGAAATTTTTAATCAGTGTTTTTCAGTAATCAAGTAATTGAGTTTAATCAGTAATTGTGACAACTCTGTTATAAATCCTGCTTTAGTTCAGGGTGTATAGAGACAGAAGGTGAGGTGTTCATTCAGCTTTTCATACCCCCGCTGGTTTTTACTCACCTATCTCTGAAGTATTTACATATGTTCCAAATATAAAGTTGAATGAATAGACAGCCTAATGCTTCACTTTTTTTATGACCCACTCAGTGCCTACAGAGGTGCATTAAATATGCACATTGCAGAGGGTGGCTGTCAAAGTGACATTACTTTATAATACAGCATTTACTAACTCCACAAGAATCATCCCCAGGCAAGCAGAGCCAAATGCTAACCTGGGACCTTGTATATCACTAGGTTTGCGGCTTACGAACCATTGTGGTAAATGAAAGTGAACAGTGATGTAGACATTTTCAAATAGAAGACTATAGCAAACTGAATGACATGGTTACATATTTATACATTTGTCTTACATTATTTGTTTGGAAGGTGCAGCCTATAATTTTAACTTGTATAATTCTAACTTGCCTTGATAACGTTGCATAAG